GTCAAGGTCACGCTACTTTTATTTTTAGCTCAAACTTGCAAACAACATTCAATTGGAGCATGCAAAAGTGAGAAATATGTTCTAACAACATTTAAAAAGATTACATCAAAGTTTTTGGTCTACTTACATTCATTCGTGGATATCTGAGACCATGGTAACTATTGAAACTTATTCAACTTTTCTGCGCATGCATACCATAGGGAGGACGAAGTACCAGTGTATTTTGCAATATTTTCGTTCTGGGCCATGCAGAAATTATTTTTACTTTTATTTTTGCCCATAAAAATATAATTTTTAGGTTCTAAAACCTGTTATTTTCTGAAACCTAATACTTTTAGGAATTGAACAAAAGTCACATTAATCCATTTTTGGCCCTGTAATTTTCTTAAATATCAGAACTACCCAGTTTAAGTTAAATATATGTTAAATTTTACTTTGAAACCTTGGTGACTTCATATCAAATAAAAATGACGTAATTTTTTTTCTCTTGTTCATGTATTATGACGCAATGAACTTTGCCGATTTTTATAAAAAATCTTGAAAATTTCTTTAAAAATGACAAGACAAATAAGATATTTTTTAATATTTTGCATAGCCCCAACCTCTGATCTAAATTATTTGATTATATAATGAAATAACTGTTTTCGAAGATTCTAGTCCATGAAATTTTTTTTGGATCGCGGGGTGGGCTTATTTTTTTTTTAATCAAAAGTTGAAGATGCTCAATTCCCCCCATTTTCTTAAAAAATCAAGAACACTGCAGTTTCAAAACTCGCACTCTCAGAGGAAAATGAAAGCACCAAATCTCTACTTTATGTTGATGTTCGAAATGGGATCTTATGACTTGGTCGGTTAATTGTATATTTACAGGGCCATTTTATGGAGATAATTAACCTACCTCTTTACAGAGGTCATGCGAAAATTCTACTTTTGTCAATTTTCCCCTTTGTGCATCACTCTGCCGCTTTAGGGTATGTCACTCATGAAATTTGTTAAATCCAGGATTTTTTGAGAAGTATATTTTAGATGCGTACTCATATAGTGTGACTCAAAATTGCAGAGAAAATAGGGGGTCAGTGTGCATCTTACTGATATACGGTACAATTAAATAGACCTTTTTTGCACTTAAACTTTAACTTTTTGGTAAATTACTTTAACCTTTATCATATTTTATCAGATGTAACCATAACAATAAATCAAAGTTTATCTTTCGTAAAATTGTTTGCATAATATTTATCACCGAACAAATCTTGCAACTTAATGCCTGTAAATTATTGTGTGACCCTTTTGCGCTAAAAAGTAACATATTTGGGGTTACTTTATTAAATCAAAGTACTGAAAGCACTCATGGGAGTTGAACATGGTGTCATTAAAATCTTTGATCAGGAGGTTAAGTGAGTGAACAATATTATTATTTCAAATACATACAACTGTTTGAGATTTTTTGAGTTGCAACAATCTTGAGAAAGACATTTAGAGACACTGAATAGCAAAATAATGCATAGGCCATAATGCTTGCCTGCCTACATTAGTCCTTTTTCATACCCCCTGCTTGAAAAGCGGGAGGGTATTTATTAATCGGGATTTCCGTCCATCTGTTTGTTACGCTTTAGGTATACCCATCTCTTATCCACAACTCCTCTTACACCACCGAACGAAATTTTCATACAATCTTTATTACATGTTGCCGTTATGCTTCTTCTATTACTTGTTCATCCTACACATATTTTGGGTTTCCCATTGCAAAATGTGGACACTGCCATTATATTCATATTAGAGGCGGTAGAACGGTTATATAATTCACTGCTAAAAATCTTCAGATTTGTACTATATTTTTCCTTTGCACCTTTACCCAAGTGTTATGAAAATTTCAGTTTCGGAGGAATAATATCAATGTTGATAAAATGTGGATTTTAACACAGCATCCTTTTAAGAGCTAACAGGTTTGTCATATTAAACTTCTCTGTGAACATAAATGTATTTCAATTACACGAACATTATACATGGTGTACGTCAAAACTTAATCTTTTTTAATATTGTGAAGAAAAAACACAATACCAAGTTAAAAACAAACAAAAGATATTTAATGACAAAACATAAAAAAGTGGTATATGTGAGAGTTTGCGGGCGTAAACATTATCTGGTTTGTAAATGAGGTTTTCGTTTTATTAAAAAAAATACTTCATTTTGCTGTTTTCAATCGCAATTTTACGAAAATATCGGTGTCCGTTTTTTATTTTAATATTTATAACAGAGTACTGACATAGTTTTACCGCTTTTGGCAGATGATACTGCTGATTAAGTAATAAATACGCATGTTTCCTAAAGTTTGTATGCATTGATGAATTCATTTAAACCAAGAAAATGTTCATGAAAAGTTTGAATAAGAATAGATTTACCGTTTGCCGTCAGTATGTAGAGTTCTCGTTCGTATCTCTTTCAGTGTATGACGCTAGTCCGCTACACTAAGAATGAGTTCCATTACGAAAAACGTTTCAGGTTCTTTATAATTTAGTTGTACTTTGAACGAAATCTAATAATCAAAATAAGATTACTTTATCATTACATTTACTTACATTATGAAAATTAGATCAATTCAGAAGAAAATGACATGAACTATTTGTGGCGGATGTTTATGCTTTTTCTGTTGAATACCATCGGAGTAAATCGGCCGACACAGAAGCCTCGCTTTCGGCTCTATATAATCAACATAAATTACTGCGCATGAAAATTGACCATGGGAGATTGATCAATTCAAATAGGCAAAAAAAAAAAAATCAAGCTTTTTACATGAACTATTACGTTAAAATAATGTGGTGTCAGGATGTTAATTTTGTAATATTAGATTTGTGATTTCCAGCTTTTTCTGTTGAATACAGAAACGCCGTGTGCTCGTTGTCATGATCAGAAAATAGCGGAAAAAATCCGTCGTCAACTCAGTGTATAAATAATGGACTTACAATTGGTATGAAAAAACGTCAGTCAGCATTTGACTCAATGATAAAATGTATTTGCTGACAAGGTCATTGTATCGACCATAAAACATACGAAATGATGACTTTAAACGAGACTGCTGGTATTCTTGTTTCATCAACTTGCTTGTCAATAATTTACCTCGTTTAAGAAACTGTTCATACGTAGAGCATGCTCTTGCGTATCGAATCAAATGAGATATATATACTCCGTATGCAGGTGATGAAGGTATATTGCTGCATAAGTATAGGAAGTTGACGATAGAAAAGTTAAAGACATCACGTTTATCATATAGCTTGGTTATTAGATTACCATTAGTGTCTTTTTCAAGTAAAATATCCAAGTATGAAGCAGAAGTGTAAGACTCTGTGATATCTTTTATCTCAGCTCACCAGGATATATCGTATCGACGTAGGAATGGACATTATCATTATTAATTGACAAAATAAACAAAAATAAGTCTGCTTATAACGGAGCGAAATTTGGACCCATGGGAATTCCAATAGTTTGTTGGAATACCTGGTCTCCAAAAACCACATAGATATTGTCAATCAGAAACTAAATCATCTTCTTGATGTCAACTTCAGAGTGCTAATGTTTGCAATCAGAATCTGTTTTAACAAAATAGTTTTGCAAATGACCAATGACGAGGTAAGTAAATTTACGAGTTCCATTTTTATTGAAGAAGCAGCTGTCAACGATATCATACAGCCTGGATTTTAATTTGTCGTGGGGAATTGTTGTATATAAAGTCGAAAAGTCGTACGTTTTTTAAACTGTTGATTTTTGTAAAGTCTTGTGATTTCAAATTTTCCAAAAGTTCTTTAGAATTTTTAAGTATCCACATCTGATTTACACCACTTCTTGAATATATAGTTGCACAGTACTCTTAAAATTTTTCCTTCACTACTGGCAATGTCTTAGTGAGGTGTAATGAAAGAGGCTTGGTTGAACATTTACTGGAACCTGCAATGTATCTTTGTTTGTAAGGATTCTTATGAAGTTTGGGAATCCAATATATATAAGGTAATTCAAATTCATTTTGGCTCTGTGGAATATTAAAAGTATTCAAAACTGACAGTTGATTTTGAAAAATTTCTTCCTTAGAAAGAGAAGTATGAGTATAAGTAGGATTACCACTTGTAGAATTTAATCAAAGTTCTTCTAGAATGCAATTTATATAATGAGACTTACAAACGAAGACAATGTTGTTACCTGCTTTGTCGACAGAAACCAGTACGTACTGATCGTGTAATCTATCTAATTCTTTTTTCACTTCTGGTTTATTGAACACGGAAGGATAGATGGTTTTCATTTTGCCCCTCAATCTTTTAATACGTGAATTTAACATGGATCTGATACATTTAATCCATTCTGACTAGGTGTCAACGTCTTCTTTTTCATATCTGGCCCATCGTCTGGCGTAAATTTCAACAGAATCCTAATATTTATGAAATTCCGACGCCAGTTGAAGGATCGGGGTTCCCTATATTTAGGACCTTTTAAAATAAGTGATCTAGGGCCTCATTATGAATTATATTTACGTTACCTGTAATAACGTGTCCAGCAGGACTATAGTTATAGGGAGAAGAAGAACATGAACACGAAGAGGGATTATTTTTCAGGTAGTCGATATCCAGGCCATGTAAAGTGTTTTTGTAATTAAGAAGTTTGGAAGCAATGGTCGATGTATATTTGTAGGAAGTACAAGGTGTAGTCTTTAACTTGAAATATGGTGGAATACAAGACTGAACCCTTTTGTGATTAAGAATATCACTTATATTAACCGCGCCAATTCCTTTTACGTCAATTCCTAGACTTATTTGTCATATCTTCATTTTTCCCCAAAGTTTGTAGAAAGAAAGTGTAATACTTGTTCTATACATATAAAATAAGACCTATTTTAAATATTCCTGCACTTGCATGCAAAAATCCCTCTCCCTCTCGAAACAAACACGTTTTTGCCAGTCATATTTTTTTTAAATTGAAATATAAATTACAACATCAATATTTTCTATTTTTTTTTATTAACCTATCGTACAATATACATCTGGATTTAAAACATTGAACCAGGATTTATTTCTCCTAGTCTTTTTCCCAGTATAAACGTCTCTTACATATTTACATAAATCACACTGAGCATCAAAAACAGTTTTTCGAAAAAGTTGGGGAATAAATTTGTCCTTTTCCTTTAAGTAGCTTATGTATTCCGTTTCATTGGAACCTATTCTGATTAGTTCTTTGGCTAAATGACTGACAGAAGGGAAATCCTGACTGTTTATATAAGTTCCTTTAGGAAGATAATGACCGGCGTCTTTTGGTCCATTTATAACAGGTATTATGTGAGTACGGTTTAAATAAAGTGAAAATAGTTTTTCTGTGGTATAACCTTTGCAGAGTGAATTCTCAAAAGAAAAAAAGAATTTGTAGTCTCTTTCGAACACGGAATGGCACCCCTTCAAATTATCATATTGCTTGCCACATTTTTTAGTTCCACAGCTGCCAAATTTATCCACTTTTAAGTATTTACTTAGTTCTTCAACCAGTTTTTCTCTTCTTGAAGGAGTTTGACAGTGGCTTGAAACCCATACCGTGTCTTTGGTTTTCTTGCTGAGTATTCCAGTGTAGTTTTTGATGGCGGGTTCTTGTATTTTTTGCAGTTTCCCGTAGAATGGTACATAAATATCAGATTCCTCCATATACGACATGGATAAATCAAAAAGTTTCATCCATTCCTTGCTTGGTCTCCACGTGTGGTACGGACTTTCTGCCGTGTTAAACACCCAGACTTGTCCTTTTTCTTTCTTAATCACTGTTTGAGGAATACGTCTGTGACTGAATACCACGATATCAGCCTTGGAAACATTTGTTTCTAACACACAGCCTGGTATGGGACATTGAGTACTATCGTAATACCGTAGCTGTTGAACAAAGTACTCCTCTGCATGAAACCAATGTGTGCGAAACATCCTTGGAAGTGAGTTTTTGGACACTTTATTTGTCATATTTGTATTGTTGAGTGACGAGTCAAAAGTATCTAATGTAGAGAGGTAGGTCAGTAAAGAACGTTCTGTAGTTGGAATCAGACTTAGGATTATAACAAAAGATATTATTGTTATAAAACACAGTGATGTAAAAACGCCATTTCTTTCGAACATCTCTGAGTGGACTGAAATAATTTTAAAATAAAATAATTAAAACCAAAAAGATATAAAAAAGGGAAAAAAGCAAATAATTTATTATCAAAAAAATGATATCATACCTCATGATAAGTATTCTATACATTAATTATTTCTGTTGAATGTCAAAGGTCATAAGTGAAATGTTAAATTACATGTATATGTCGTTTTCTTGTTGTCTGCATGATGTATGGCGAACATGAAAACTTACAGTTCTAAATATTGAGCATCTGAAACAACAATCATAAATAAATATATAAGCCTCTTGTTCTAATTCGTCTCTTCTTAAATAAATATTTTCCCTGTCTTTTAAAGATTTGTATTAAAATCTTTAATTTGTTCGGACAAAAGTATTGCAGCTATGTTAAGGACTCCGAAAGGTATATCATTCTAGGTAAAGTTTCGGGAAATCGATTATGACGTCAGAGAGAAACTGTACAAATGAATCTCGGTGAATAAATAATGATTTTCTTTTTCATACAATGTTACAAACTGTGATTTTTCATCATTATTGCAAACTTGAATAATGTGTAACTTATCTTGTCATTATTACACTATTCGAATGTAAAATTTAAGCCAACTTGATCTCGCTGTACTAACATAGATGACATTATGGACTAGTTGACACGCATTGTTTCTGTACTTGATATGCAGATCAAGCTATTATTGCAACTTGCACACATGAAAATTAAAACTAAATATGCGTGATCTGACTAAAATTGAGTCATATTTTGTTATGTATAACTCAATATTTCGAAGTCTTATTAAATTGATAACGACTAGGTCTCTTATTAAGCCGCAATCATGCAGTTTTAAACATAAATGTAATACATTCCAAGGCACAAACTCCCGAAAATTTCAAAAGTTCTACGATATCCGCTTAACAATAAATCATATTTACACACATGTAACTATTGTCCCTACTATTTTGAAAAAAGCTGGGAGCAAGTTGTGCACTGTTGGTTTTTTCGGTAATTTTACATCATTTCAATGCGTGTCGTGTAAACTGAATGCACGAAGTTAATCAGAAGACGGCTAAATTGTATATAATTTCCGGGCATGGGGAAGTTGCTCCCAGCACTTTTAAGGCTAAGGTATTTGTCTTAAAAAAAACAATCAATTTCATTGTGAAAATTATCCGTATATTATTTAATTTTTACAATCTTTGTATTTGTACATATTTTTCTCTAATTTAACCATGTCAGGTGACAAACAGTTGATGTTTGTGCTTTGGTCGAACTCGTTTGAGACCCCATACATACTTACGCATAAGTACGATTTCCATTAAATATTCTAACTCATACTTATAAAATAGATATCAACATTATATTTGTTTTCTCGGAATATTTCAAAGCATACCTTATGGGCGGTCTTAACTTAGCTGTGATGGGAGATTATTTTTCAAATTAGCAACAACTATGATCTGAGATCCCTCATCATACATCTGTTCTGTCCTACAAACAACTATGATCTGAGATCCCTCATCATACATCTGTTCTGTCTTACAAACAACTATGATCTGAGATCCCTCATCATACATCTGTACTGTCTTACAAACAACTATGATCTGAGATCCCTCATCATACACATCTACTGTCTTACAAACAACTTTGATCTTAGATCACTCAACATACACATCTACTGTCTTACAAAAACGTTGATCTTAAATCACTCATCATTCATCTGTTCTGTCTTACAAACAACTATGATCTGAGATCCCTCATCATACATCTGTACTGTCGCACAAACAACTATGATAATAGATCACTCATCATACACATCTACTGTCTTACAAACAATTTTGATTTTAAATCATTCAATCTTAAATAATCATACACGTATATTGTTTTAGAAACATCTTTGATCATAGATCACCCAACCTTAAATCACTAGCAGCAACTTAACCACGACTGCTTGATTAATTCCTGTACATCTATGCATATAAGTTTGTTTTGGAAAATATGAAAATTAAGAACACATTACTTAACCACCTAAGGAAAAATCGGTTAAATACAATTATTGCCTTACCTTCTCGGACAATATCTCTTTATCCTTTTCTGCTTTGCTTTGAAGCAAGATATATAATCTTTATACACAGATACATCATCTCATCATCTCAGTCACGTGATGATCTCAGTGATGTATGTTTCAGATTACGAGGAATTTTTATTTTCCTTTTTCTAAAATATATATTTCCTTATTACCATATAACACGCAGTAATGAGTGGTTTTCTATTTTCCTGATACTTTTATACAATTACTTTTATACATTAGCGTTAATAACTCCAATTTGCCCTTTTACAGTACATTAACAACGCTTATAAAAATTTGATAACAAATCTGTTCAATTACGCTAAGGCAACTGAAAATAATGTTTAATTTTTAAATCAGGTGAACGTTTCTTGTATTTTTCTATCAATATGTTTTGTGAAATATCATCAAATTATTATTGCTTTGTTTTAAATGTGCTGTTTATTTTTGCCAGGACCTTTACTTGGTTTAAATAAGTCATAATAAACATGTTTTGTCTTAGAGTCTGTCGTGATCTCAGGACACTGATCCTTAATAAAAATAGAAATTTAAATCATTATCAATGCGATAGTGTCCAGGTCTCTTTTAATGGGCTTTTTGACAAAAAGCTAGGCCTAAGTTAGTCGTTATCAACATGTATTCTCTTAGAAACTGGCCAGCATATTTAGGTCACTGAATCTTAGATCAAACTGACAGCATCTATAATCAGACAAACTTTTATAATTGTTATGCTTTAGATACAATCATGATGTAAAGTCATTCATCCTTAGAATTGTAATTGTTATGTCCTTAACTGTTTTGTTTAGATCTATATTTCTTACGTTTTAGCTACAACCATGTTCTGAGGTCACTATTTTTTTTTTTTTAGATCACACTATTAGCATCTCAAGCTAAGCTGTTACATGTATGATTATTACGTCTTCCCTACAACCTTAATCTTAGGTTACTATTATCTTAGATCACACAATCAGCAATTAAAGTTAGGCTTTTATAATTATTTTTTTTCTCAGCTACAACCTTGATTTTACATGTTTTATGTCACTATTTTCTTAGATTACACTAGAAGCATCTACAACTAGGATGTTACATTTCTTTATTTATGAAAATAAAGCTAACAGAAATGTCCTTATCCTTTTTTATTCCTTTTTTCATCTTTATACAAAACATCTTCTATATAAATGAGAAAGACATAATTTAGGAAATTACTGAACTAGAAAAAAATTATGACAACAATGTAACTAGTATTGCTGAGAGGTAAAAAGCATTAGAATCAATAAGGCAACATAAGCTTACGGGGAATATGATAAGGTCAAGGGCAAAATGTGAAGGGGAAAACCAACAAGTTATTTCTTAAATCTTAAAAATAGACATTTTACAAATAAGATAATACCAAAAATTATTAAAAGTGAAAATAATGAGGAAAGGGAAATAACAAAGCAATCTGAAATTCTAGAAGTTGAAAAATTTTACAAATCATTATACTTAGTTCAAATGTTAGAGGATGATGATTTTAATCTTAAAGAATACCTTGAAGAATATAATGTCCCTAAATTAGATGATACTGAACGTTTGCAGTTGGAAGGTGTTATTTCATATAGTGAAGCCTTATCAGTATTAAAGACAATGTCTAATAATAAAAGTCAAGGTAGTGATGGCTTCACAGCATAATTTTTTTAAGTATTCTGGAGAAATTTGAGTCATTTTGTAGTACGCTCTTTGAATTATGGTTATGAAATAGGTGAATTTTCTTCTACACAAAAGCAAGGAATAATTACTTCCATACCAAAAGAAGGAAAAAGTAAATTTCATCTCAGCAATTGGAGACCAATATCACTGCTAAACATTATTTATAAAATTGAATCAGGATGTATAACAAACAGATTAAAACAAGTTTTAACCAAAATAGTTAGTTCAGATCAAACAAGTTTTATACCTGGGAGATATACCGGAAAGAATACACGTCTTTTATATGATCTGATGCACTACACAGAATTGTATGATATTCCTGGAACATTAGTAATGATAGATTTTGAGAAAGCCTTCGACTCTGTGTTATGGCCATTTATTCAAGAAACATTGGATTTTTTAACTTTGGACCAAGTTTTTGTAACTAGATAAAAATTTTCCAAAATATACAAGAATTTGTTGCTCTCCGATATATTTTGATAAATCTTGCTTCACGGAGCATGCTACATTTGCACGTTGTACATCAAAAGACATTAAAATTAAAAATTGCATTTTTTATAACTTCTTCAAGTTAGGAAGGGGCTGTAGAAAGGGTAATCCAATTTCTCCTTATATATTTTTTTATGTGGGTTTTGCATAGTTTCCATACCTGATCGATTAACTGCATAGACTTTTTTAAAGATCTCAATAATATCCGAATGAAAAGTATATGTCTTGATATAGATATTCAATTTTAAACTAGAAAATAGATAAGAAAAATCTGAAGAAATGAAAGATTTATAGAACTTTACCGGTTGAAATCGGGTTGTCACGTCGCCTTACGTCAAGTGATTGATTCCATGACCTCATAGTAAAAATCGTTGTAAATTTTCAAGATTTTATTATATGGACCTGATTTTTTACATACCAATAAACAAAATGTAGGAATTTATTTTCATTAGATTTTCCGTAATTCAAAGTGGACCCTCGACAAGCATGAATTTTATAACTTCTTCAAGTTAGGAAGGGGCTGTAGAAAGGGTAACCCAATTTCTCCTTATATATTTTTTTATGTGGGGAGATTGATTGATTAATTGTATATTGTTTAACGACCCTCTCGAGAATTTTTCACTCATATGGAGATGTGGGTATGCCGTTGAAGGGCTTCAAATTTCAGGGCCATTGAGCAGTGAGGGATCTTTATCGTGCCAACGCCTGTCGCTGACACGGGGCCTCGGTTTTTAAGGTCTCATCCGAAGGACCCGCAACTTTCACTTCAAAGTGCCGAGCGCATCTCGAAGGAACAGTTGCTACCCATTATAACGACTAGGTCAGTCACGGCCGAGATACGAACTCACGACCTCCCGATTACGGAGCGAGCGCTCTACCGACTGAGCTACCGTGAACGGTTATGTGAGGAGATACTGTCAATTAAAATAAGAAATAATAAGAATATCAAAGGAATTAAGATTAATGATACAGAGTATTTAATGTCACAATATGCAGATGACACAATGATAATTCTTGACGGCTCTGAAAAATCACTAAAGGCTACAATTCTAGTATTAGAAGAATTTTATAAAATGTCAAGTCTTAAAATCAATCAATCAAAAACCCAAATTATGTGGATTGGAAGTAAGAAGTATTCTGAGGATAGACTCTGCCCTGATTTGAAATTTCAATGGACACCAAACTTTAAACTTTTAGGCATTTATTATGATGTTGACTTAGCAAAAATCACAAAACTAAACTATGACAAAAAACTGGTCAAAATTAAGACCATCATAGAGCAATCTAAAAAGAGAAACTTAACTCCTATTGGAAGAATCACATTGATTAAATCACTACTTATATCACAGCTTAATCATTTATTTATTACTTTACCAAACCCACCTGTAAGTGTTATAAAAGGTCTAAACAAATTGATCTTTAATTTTTTATGGAAATCAAATGTAGACAAAATAAAAAAAGAGTTGTTACACAAAAGTATGCACAGGGAGAATTAAAACGGTTAATATTGTGTCCTACATAACAGCTTTAAAATCTACATGGATATGAAAAATAATCTCAAATAAATATTGGGAAAATATTGTTGAGATTGATAAACTTTTATATACAGGACCAGAATATTTGTCACATTTACAAGAGTATGTACAAAATAATTTCTGTAGAGATGTTTTGAAAGCTTTCTAAGAAATTCAAGAGAAAATAGAGATACGAAATTGGCAAGAATATGCATGTCAACCTTTATGGCATAAAAACAATTTCAAAATCGAATATCAAACAATATTCTACAAGTCTTGGTATGCAAAGGGAATAAAATATGTATATGATCTTTCAGATGAAAATAGTAACTTCCTATCACTAGACAATATTCAACACAATTATGATTTGAAAATTAATCAATTAGCTTATTTAGGCATACGGCAAGCGATACTTGCAGATTTAAAGAAATATAACTCTTGAAGAAATGGATTGATTCATAAACCAGATATTCCATGTAATATCAAAGTCTTTGTATTAACCAAAAAACAAAAAAAAGGATCAAAGCTTATGTATGATATATTAAATAAATCGGTAATAAAACCTGTTGGTATGGGAAAATGAGCAAACTATTTCACCTTGACAGATACAAACTGGAAAGAAATTTTTTGTCTGCCCTTTTAACAACCCAAAACAGTAAATTACAATGGCTTCAATACAGAATTAATCACTATATATTGACAACAATTAGTCTTATGTTTAAAATAGGTAAAACAGACTCTAACCAAATGAGTATGTACATTTTGTAAAGCAGAGGAAGAAACGATATTTCAATTAATTTGGCAATGTCCAGTTTTAAAACAATTTCTAGATGGTTTTGTTAAACATTGTCATCGAAAAGACATTGCATTAAATCTGGATGGTAAAACTTTTATATTTGGAGATATAAGTAAAACAATATCATCAAAATCATTAAATACTTTGCTTATGTCAATGAAGCAATATATTTACAGAGTTCGTTGTCAACACCTCAGCCTCTCTATCCATGGCTT